TCAAACTGGTAGGAGTGGAATGGATTGAGGTGCCCTTCCCCCAGCAACTTTAAAGCCCTCTTCACCAGCTTGGCAAGCCTGTGACCGAAGATACTCTTGCCCTGCTTGGACAGATGGACCCCATCAGCTCCCAGTAGAATAGGTTTCTCAAAGCGAGTCCCGTGGTCTAAGTAGCTGAACCCCTGGCCACAGAAAACGGGCAATGTGAAGTAATGCTGCCACAACAATCTCTTTTTTTCATTTCTCCAGTTTTCAGAGATTCAGTTAGGAACTTGAATATTTCATTAAACTACAACTTATTCTTCAGCTTCCTGGCTTTTTTCCTAGAGAAAAGAATGAGCAGGCAGAATCCAAACCTGTTAAACATCAGAGATGACATGCTACAATACTGACAAGATACTTGAATAATTTAAATATTCTAAAGCTGAAGAGAATGCCATGACTATCAATGAACCTATCACTTTACAGGACTGGAAAACCCAACCTTAGAATAATATTTGTATTACAAACTACCTGCAGCATGAAATAGAAGAGATATTTGTTCACACTGGAAAGGGTAACAACATCAAAATGTTAACTCTGCTTCTTTTTTCATATCTTTCAATATTTTAGTCTCTTCTCCTTCCAACCTGCAGGCATACTGCATAGTAAATTATGTACCATATGGGATGAAGGGACGGTCACTCGGTGGATGCAGTAGAAAATGTTTCTCTCCAGATATCACACAGTACAAGTTCTCATAATGATCTTTATGTACTAGGATTGAGGAAAAAAGAGATGTGGAGAAAGAGAGAAAATCAGTGTTATTTCCTTCTCTACATCAGAAACTATAGTAAACTGAAAGCGTCAGCTTGTCCTCTTATCATCTGGCTGCTTCCTCCTCTTGCAGCCAGTGGGAGTGGAAAGTACCAATATAATGTTGTAGCAAATGTATTCAACGAAGCAAATTGTCAGTACTTTGCCTGACACAATGCCAGATAGATGCACCCAGAGACACAGCAGCAAGAGGCTGCAGAAGTGCAGGAGAAAGAAGGCAAAAAAAGTACGTTAAAGTAGAACTGCCTTGTCCGAGAAAACACACAGTCCTGCTGAGCCACTAACTCAAAACAAGCCCGCTTGAACCTCTGCTGAAAGCACACAGAAGACGTACAGTGCCACACAATACGTACAAGATGTCACAGCAGTCGATTCCCCAAGCCAGAAATTCACAGCATCAGGCTTCTTCCCTGTATGGTTAGGGAATAGAGACATGTTGCCAATGAAAAAAGAATTGTCACATTTAAAACCATTTCAAATAATTTTCTGCCAGTTCTGCCAAATTCTAACCTTTAACTTCCTTCAGAACTATGACAGGTTTCATTACAAATAGCAGTCTGTGAGCAACAGCAGCCACCTTCTATGCTGGAAGCCACTGTAGTGCCGATCAGACTTCATGACGTAGTATCATCCATCCCCAAATCAATGGTTACAACCCTTTGTTTCCACATTCTGAATCCCTAAGACTTAGCTCACAGAGAAATTGCAGCACATCTACGTACAGTTCAAAAAGATGGTGAGATCACAGTAAATCATTTTCATTGACTTTTTAAGGGAAGACATGCTGTAAAATAGAAACTGACTGAAACAGAACGTTTAACTAGAAACAAAACATCTGTAATTTTACAAAAGGGGGTGGGGGCTGTGTGTTGTTTTGCTTGTTTGTTACACTAGCTTTGGTAGCAACAGCATGAATCCATATCAAAACATGATTCTGAATCAGAGAAAAGCCACTATATGAAAAGAAATGCTATATGGTGCTGTCACCACAGTGTTTCAGTTGTGATGGTCCCAAATCACAACTGAGATACTGATTCTGGAGTAACCCAAACCCAAAACCTAGATTACTCTATTATTAAATATTTTACCACTTCTGCTTCCTAAGGGGATGAAACCAAACTAAGCTCTGGCATCCAGAACCAGAAACAAACATTCACCATGTACCTAGCATGATTGTTTCAAAGCTCTGTACAAAATATTTACTGAATACAGAAGAAATAGAAGGTTTACCAAGTGCCTCGCTCATCCATGGTATGTCAGGCTGCACATCACAGACAAGTTCAGGGAACTCCTCAATGAGGTTTGAACACTGCTTCTGCACATAGAATATGTTGGGAGAGGTCACTTTCTTCTCCACAATGTCCAAAAAGTCCATGAAAGGCATTTGGCGCTCCTCTGGCATGACAAAACGGTCCTGAAACACTGCATCTGCATAACCATTTGGTGTTACTGCCACGCTCACTACCTTGGGGCCTATTACCTCCCTGCAAAATAAATCAAAGGTTTATAGCCAGACCTGCAATTGGCCCATATATTGCACACTGGTTACTTTAAAAAGAACGTATTTCATGGGCAGCAAAAATAAGAAGCCTGGCTTTCCATGGATGGGTGTCTCTAGACTAGATTTTCTACTGTCAGATAAGGACTCTGCCATTCTGCTCCAATTGCTGCCTGTGGTCAAGACAATCGTATTATCTTTAGCCTCTCTAAATTCTCTTGCGTCTAACAGGTGAGTTCACAAAGGAGCTCCCTTTTCTTCTGTGCAGGCTGAGGGCCCTCTTCAGCGACTTCTTTTCATCAATCATGGACAAGCTTGATATTCTTGGGACCACTCAACCCAGCCAAATCTGGGCAGCTGTATGGTCAACAGCAATCGAGGAGGGAGAAAGGATGAACAGAGACTGATAGACACACACATCATGTGGTTAACAGCCCTTTTTTCTGTGAGAAACTTAATTTTAAACCCATAGATTTTAGGCCTAACCAGAAATCCCACCTCAAAAAAGAACTTTAAAAAACCTATATCAGTCATTGTTAAAACGCTTATCATTTGTGGTTTGTTTTTTTTAAAAAACAAAGTGTACTCAGTCACAAACAAGTCAGTCTGTTCTAAGAGTGCTACAGCCCCACTCCAACTGGGAGGCTATGGGGTGGAGCACTGGCCGGAGCACAGCAATGGGACTGGGTTTCCATAGCCTGGGCTGGCTGGCTGCACAGCCACAGCACCCCCCCTTCACACTGCATCGGAACTGGTCAGGACGGCATCTTTGCAGGAACAAACGTACACACGAGTTTGGCAGGGCTTAACACCATTGTACAGAAGCACAGGAATCTGAGCTAATCTTAAGGATAAAAACAAAGATTAACCAAGGGCCTTTTACTGAGGTCAACTGAAGTTGGCCATCAGTCCTGCTCCAAAGCTCCTTCATACCTGAGGTACGCTGAGGTCCATTTCTTCAGAGCCGGCCAGTGGCTGATGGCATTCTGAATTATACAAGGTTTATTCGGACTCACCCATTCTCGATAAAACTCCAGTGGGGACGGAGGCCTATCAAGATAGGGTACATCCTCCATCCACCCCAGCTCTGTCCAGGAAAATGAGAAACAGTTTTACTCAGTGTCCTGAGAGCAGCACCTGCTGCTAGCACACTAACTGGCTCCAAAGCCCACACCACAGGTGCTCAGCTGAAAGCAAGCCGATCCCCATGGGCTCCAGAAACGGCTCAGTTAAAACCCAGAGGCTGTCCGGGAGGGTTTCAGTGCCAGATGGGTACCTCAGGCCCTCCCCCAGCCACTCACCTGCTGTCAGTCACAGCTACTGCCATGGGTGGCCACACCGTGGGCCCACAGGAGGTGCACCTCTTATACAGAGATGATACCACACAAAGATTTTTGGAAGCTGGCATAGTGCTTTGTTTCGCTATTTTATAAATAAGAAAATAACCTAAAAGGGCCATTTTCTCACGTTTCGTTTTCTTTTTGCAGGGGCCTTTCATGCTCCATCTTCACCTTGGAAACATTTGGCTGCAAACAGAGCAGGTGCATGGACGCTCCAGTTCAACCCACGCAGGTGCCATTTGCGGCTGCTGCGGCCCAGCCGGGGCGCCGAGGCGGCCCCA